GCCGTCATGTATGCTTCAGGCGTCTGGGGACAAACCCCAAAGCTCGCCGAGGAATCAGCGAGCTCTCCATAATACGGAAACTCACTATGATCCCTTAGTTAGGGAAGTTTTAGATTATGCTCTAGACGACCTCTTCCGATACAGAATACCCCGACGCTTAGCCGAGTGAGGCCCTCATATCCTCCATTAACGGGTGAATAGCTTTTTCACCAAACACCCACATCAGAAAGGAGTGTACCGTGATAGACGGTGCAGATGTCTGAGAAATTTCTTGCCGTCACAACCACAGTGAGGTGTCTTTCGTTTGTCCCTCTGACGAACAGCACGCTTCAAGGTAGACGAGCTAGGTTCCATCTTGAATTAAAACAATTTACATGTCTCTTTTCAGTTCATGTTATAACCTACTTTTATCACTTTTGTGATTTCATGTATATGTTATTTATATTCCGCACAAGGCTTTGTCAATAAGAATTTATTCTTCAGACAATAAAGTATATTAAAAAAAAAAAAAAAAAAAGATGGCCGGGTCAACAACCGGTCAATGCTGCGAGACAAAAAATTTGGGCCTTCGATAGATTATGTTATCCGACATAAGTGAAGGTGATCAGAATAGCACAGGATCCATACTGTAGAGATGAACTGAAAAACTCCATGGGTTTAAGTGTGAATGCTCCATCAATGATATTCCAACGATTCTGCAGAATATTCTAGATGAAGTGTGGGAAGATATACTGAACTGTTTTTATGCGCTTTCTCTTGAATGGTTTCCCTTCAATATGATTGCTTGGAGAAGTGGACCAGACAGGGTGTCCTTTTTCTGGATGTTGTATTAACTGTGACGCAAAACAGTCCTCAGTCTCGCAGGGAAAGAGGTTAGGAGAGCTACATTGACATAACTTGTGCTTCTGGCATGTCTTGAGATATTGCATTCAATGAAATTCAATCTAATGATGGTTCTATGATCACTGACTGAAAAAAATTGCTTAATTGCAAAATCTTCCGACATTGACTCCCAGAGCTATATGTTGGAATTAACGGATACTTGATGAAAATCCATAACTGACGTATTCAAAAAACACTTTATTGTGAGATTTTCAGTTTTACAAAGATGCAACTACACTAGTTACTATGATACGGTTGATATCATATAATAATAATAATAATAATAATAATACATTTATTATTTACCAGTACATAAAAATAATACAAAATAACTTTACAAAACAAAAGTATCAAATGCAGGTAAATAAAAGGAGAGCAGTTAGACTCTGCAGCCAATTCTTCCACAGCCCCCTTGAGAAGCCAATAAATACATATACACGATAAGAAAAGTAAACTATACATTTTCGAACTCTAACCAAATATTATGTTAACAACTATGATTGTTGAGTAGGATTTCATACATAATCCACTGATACAGGCAACAAACTATTGTTGACTAAATAGAACTCGTTTATACCTAAATTTAAATGCATCACAAGACAACGAAAAATTAGGTACATCCAGGACATCGCCGAAAGTCGCTATATTATAAGAGAAAGATCGTTTGAATACTTCTTTTTTATGCTTGGGTATAGTTAGCATGTTCCTCCGTCGCAAGTTCAAATGATGCACGTCAGTCCTAAATCCAACTTTTTGATATAAGTATTGGGGGATTTTATTTTTCAAAATTTTGTAAAAAAAACATACCATATGATGCTTTCGACGGTTGAACATACTTAGCCACCCAGCATCCTTTAATTTATGTGAAATACGCATAGGACGCCGTATTCCATATATCATTCTCATACAAGAATTTTGAACCTTCTGTACTTTTCTTATATCCGAACTATCGATACAAGGTCCATAAACTACGTCACAATGATTGAAATGGGAGAGAACCATACTATCACACAGCTTGATTTTCAATTTGTAGTTCAGAAAATGTCTTTGACTGTGAATAAGTTTCAATGACATATATGCATTTTTTAATTTTTGGGTAATATGGTGTTTGAATCGTAACTTATTATCCATAATCAGTCCAAGATTCTTACAATAATCAGCCACTTCAATCTTGTCTCCTCCTACCCTTATTGTCATTATGTTCTTTGCTGAGGTCACTTCCTGATCAGTGCCAAATAAGAGTGCAACAGATTTAGTTGAGTTGATTCTTAATGAATGACTATTTGTGAGGGTCAGCAATTTATTCAGGTCAGAATTGATGACGTCCGTAGCTTCCGCTAGATCACAAAATTTGAAAGAGAGATATAGCTGTGTGTCATCTGCATAAAAGTGGTATTTACAGTTTGTCAGGTGTAGAGAGAAGTTGCTAGTGTAAATGGTGTATAATAATGGTCCCAACATACTTCCCTGTGGAACGCCCTGACATATGTCCACAGAATCCGAAATATGATCATCTAATTTCACTTGTTGCGACCTACCAGATAGATAAGACTCAATAATTGAACAAGCAGTGTCTGCGAATCCAATGAAATGTAAGATAGAGAGAAGAATATCATGTCTTAAGGTATCAAATGCCTTGGAGTAATCAAGTAGAACAAGAGCACACATTTCATTATTATCAATTGACCTCAATATATCATCAGAAATAGCACACAGTGCTGATGAACAACTGTAGCCAGACCTGAATCCACTCTGATATAAGGGAAGTATATTATTATCTTCGATGTGTGTTCTCATTTGCAGTTCAAGAATTTTTTCTAATACTTTCGATAAGGTTGGCAGCACGCTTATACTTCGTAAGTGACTTCGTAAGTATTTATTGAAATATTGGAATATAACTCTTTGATGTCATTTTGAGAAGGGTCTACTTGGCAAAGTGGTAAGTTTATAATTCTTCCCAAATTTCTAGGGTGAGATACTTGGAAATTTGAAATCGGACAATTTTCATGCATATATTTTTGAACTTGAAAAAATAATAAAGACATCAAGTATGGAAAAATCAAATCTGTATTAGAAAAGTCATTGATTCAAGCATCACTGAAGAACTTACCCCAAAAATGGTGAAAATTGAAAGCATTCAGAAACGAACTGGATACTGCATAAGGACGAAAAAAGAATATGTAGTTATATGATGCGCTAGTAATATGAATTATTGATTTCATCATTACCCTTTCAATAAATGTTGTCATTTTGTTAATAGACGAAATGAATCAACAAATGATTCCATGTAAAATGGATTGCTTGGGATTGCTTGGGTATATTACTCAGCTCATTTTCATGGAACTAAATGTGAGAGGATCCAATTGTCATTTTTATAAATATGTTTCTTCATTTCAAAACGAGTCAATTCACGAAGCGATGTTTCGATTGCTCTTATCAACAGTCGTCTTTTGATAATGATAAATTTGTACGTGATGATTTTCAACTACTTAGGCAGGTTTTTGCTTCTTTTTTCGAATCTTTGCTTGCCTGGCTGCATAGTAGTCCTACACATGAGTAGCTTCTCTGAATTCAATTTTGAATTCAATTTTCCTATCAATAATCTCAACTCTGAATCACTTGTTATGACAAGTGTTATGGCATGCTATCATGTGTGATTCAATGCACATTGATATCTAGTACATTATTCTAAACTTGAGATAATTTGAACATGCAATCCAGAATCATTGGACATGTTGGACTGGTTTGTAGGGTTACCTGAGCTACACAAAATCATCCATTCATGGTATTCATATAGAGAGTAAAGAATATCTTGTTGAATACATACATGACGAGTACATAATGAAAAGCTACAAGAAAGAGTAAATGCTGTGTCGATTTTCAACAGATTTTTAATTTCAATATATTTTCATAAACTACACCTCACAATTTGATCTCCACAAACTTTATTTGAAAAATATATCATGACATGTTTTGCTAACACAGTAGGTAGGTGAGTAGGTCTAAAGTGAGTGGGTCTATTCGACCCTCCACCGCAACCCACAAGGGTTTATTGTGGCTCATACCTATTCACACTCGGCTGAATAAACCCGGTTTCGTTAAAAAGCTGGTGAGTACTCTTTCAGGTCAGATGGTGAGAGTATGGATCTGCCGAACTCAAAGAACCTGATTCGGTCCCCAGCGGGCCAGGCACAAAGTATATGATCTGCTCTTTCATCATTTTCCACACGGTGGCGACACACACTGTCTTCCGATAGTCCAAGTCTCTACATATGATGATTCAAATGACAGTGACCTGACAGTGACAGGCCTGTTAGACATCGTGGTTCATCCCTACTGTAGTCCAATAACTGTTTGGTATATCGAAGGGTGAATAAACGCCTTGGAGTGAGCCAATCCTGGAAGATTCTGCCAGAAGTCCATAAATCTTCTTGCCATCCAGGTGATCAGTGTTTGTTTGGCGAAGCCCAAAGCGATGCCAATGACGGTTCTGCCAGTATGGCCTGGAATCCAGACCAGAGACAATCTGTTAAGTCCTCCTATCGAGGAGAGGCGTTGCTCGGTAGGAGCCGAGAGATTCCAACGCCGCTTGACTTGTGAGTGAGGTTGGAGGTATCCAATCCCTCCACACACAATTCAATAGTGTAAATTTTCACTGGAAATACAGTCGCATAAGTTCCTAGGCAGGTAGACAACTCTGTCCTGCGATTGAAAACACGTGCACCAGAACCGAAATGTGTTTTCGATTCATCTGTGAACCAACAACTATTTGCTCTTAATATTTCCACCTCCCAAAGGATCCAGTCCAGATCAACAAACCACTGTTGAAGGAGCTACTGTGTTAGCGAAACATGGTCGTGATATATTTTTCAAATAAAGTTTGTGGAGATCATATCGTGAGGTGAATTTTATGAAATAGCTATGGATCTTCATCAAATATCATTATTTCCATAATGATCACTTCAATGATTTGTTATCAATAATTTCAAAAATGCTTCTCAAAGCCAAACTATGTTTGAAGATCTGGATATCATTGATCGAAAAATGCGTTGATTAGATATAACTGTATCCCATATAAATATGTGACGAATCATCGATGAAAAGTTAGTTTTATCATGATGAGTGAAAATGCATTATCGATTGCATATTTCTGCGCAAAATATCCCAATGTCGTTATTGAAAATTCTATTAATCCTAATTGGTATGCGCTACTCAAGTCAGTATTCGAGCAGAATGAGGAAAACTTGACACAGCTGAACCATTTCCTTGCGAATATTCTGGAACCGGTGAATCCTGCGAAAGAACATATCTGGGCTTTCACCAGATTCTGCAATCCAGATGGAGTTAAGGTAGTGATAATTGGGCAAGACCCATATCCTTCACCAGGTTTGAGAAATGTCATGGGCTTCAGTGTGAATCGTCCAAATAACTTTATACCACAGTCATTGAAGAATATTCTCGATGAAGTTCAGAGAGATATATCTAACTCTCGGTTTGCTCCCTCTTTAAGGGGATATCCCCCACAACATGGATGTTTGGAAAACTGGGCCAGACAGGGAGTTGTTCTCTTGGATGCTGTACTAACTGTGACGCAAAACGATCCACAGTCTCATAGATTCAGAGGCTGGGAGAAAATAGTTGGTTCCATTATCATGTACTTACAAAATATCGCAAACAATAATGAAAGATTCATAATTTTCATGTTATGGGGAAGAGTTGCTTGGGATTTGAAAACATACGTTGAAAATATTGGGGGCAGAATTCTTCTTGCAGGCCATCCTTCATCTGGTAACGAGAATAACGATTTTATGGGATGTGGACATTTTTCAATCGCCAATGAAATCTTGATCGGCGCTGGACAACAACCAGTTGACTGGTCTCTGGCGTGAAGATTGTATGTAACATTTTCTATATGATTATTATGACACTATTACTCAATGTTGAGTTTTCATAATATAAAATATATGTTTTCAATACCAATTGTAAATATAGGAAAATATGAATGTATAAACAATAAAAACTATTTTTATTGTGGAAAAATGTAATGCAATAAAAATATATCACAATTTTTCTGAGGAATTCCAGAATATAAAACATATATGTTTGTGACTTTTATTGAATATTCGACTGATTTATTTCCAAACTCACCATTGGACTTCTGGTGCTGATACTTCTGATACTTCTGATACTTCTCTGTCATGAATTGTAGACTCGAAAAGTGCAATCGCAAATTCAGGAAGAATTTTTGTCGATCTTCAACTTCTCAAAAAGGCACTGATTGAAAGTTAGTTCGTTGTTTTTCGTATGAACCAAGTTACACTTATGGATGAGATCAAATTTTTGAAAAGCTTGACTTTTCAAAACTGCTTGCTTACTTGAACAAATTTTTGGTAAGTCGGGGATATAGGAACTGAGCTGTGAGGACTGACAAAAAGTATATCGGACAGACTATTCAATCTACCTGGTTCCAGAGAACATTCAGCACATAGCCGATTTTGGAGACTAGAAAAGTCCAGTGTGGCTCAACACTCTTTTGAAGGACGGCCCTGGAATGAATGAAGACTATCTGAAATTGTTGAAATCGGTACGTGACTCCAGAATTTTGGATGCTTTCGAAAATCTGGAAAGTTGGGCATGAGAACTATGGACAGTAATAACGGTTTTAACAACCCATCATTCACATTTCTTTGTATGAATCAGTCTATTGAAAATGACCAGCAACTTTGACGAGAATGCTTCTCGCCAATTTGTACGCTAGAAATTATTGCTGTGTAACTAAAAATGAACGGTACCTAGCTGTCACATTGGATTTGAATCGCTGGAGATTGAATTCATTTGGAAAAACGTAACAGTAAAGTTCACGGTGTATTGAGTTGAACCTGAAAATGATAAGCAGCCACAGCCCGTCGCGTATTTCTGATATGTACTGCTCTTGATAGAATCAAATGTGCCAAGTATCTTGAACATTTGCAGTTCTGAAATAGTTCTTATTTTGGATTTTTTTTGAGTCATACGTTCCAGTTTAATCTTTCAATATTGACTGGAATTGTTCAGTTTTAAAAATTTCAAAATCATTATTGAATTACTGTAATACTCTCACTTTGATCCAAAAATGTTTTTCTCAGAAGATTTTGAAACATTATATTAGTTCACATATTTTTTGAAAAAATTTTATTGTGGAGGTATCAAAATTTCTTACTGTTACTTGGGAGGTTAACTTCCCACAATCTGATAAATAAACAAAGTTGAATCGGAAGAGAATGTGCTTAAGTGTAATACAGGGCAGACTGAAAAATTCACTACAGAACTAAACGGAATTTGAACGGAATACTTGCAAATTCAGTGTTTGAAAATTCATTTTTAATTGAGTTATTTGATATATTACACGGTGCTACATATTCCGAATACATTCAGATCATTTCTGTTTGTAGATTTTCAATAATTTTTATGATAATTTGTCTCCAATCACAGTCTTTACGATATTGAGTTCTCGAAACAAACTGTCATTGCAAATATATCTTCTTATCCATATTCCCGAGAAGGGTTCATCACCTAAAGTTGGAATAATTGGATTGAACGACTCATGTGGGAGGGCTTTCAAGGAACTGAAACGTCTCACGGTTGTTGAAACATATATTTATGAATTCTGTATTTTTTTTCATAACAGTACATTGGTTTTTTTAGAACCTAGATCGCATCGAACAGCTCTCTACCAGAAAATACATCTTTATCTCGGACCGAAAATTTTCAACAAGTTAAATATGGTCGAGACTGACTACATCGAGCATATTAACTTGTATGAGCCTGGGGGTGGAGGATGAATAGCCTCAATAAATTCGGAACTTCTCATTCCCCACAACGGATTAAAGATCCCCCGGAGCGTAGGACAACACAGGTGTCTCGTCAATACCGTAGGAGTGTACTCTTAGGGCCGCGTTATGTTGATGGATATAGGCCAAGACCGTATTTGCTGGATATGCTGACAGCAAGGGCATTAGAGTCTCAGACGCCTGGCGGCAGGCCCTGCACCTTGTGCCAGTAACTTTTATACTTATAACCTTATATGATGTGACTGCGGTAGACTAAGTAGTTGAAAACACCATCCTGGCAGACCATGATGAACCCCTGAATCTCCGACTTGGGTCCACTCAACCTGAGAAAAGCGAAGGTCTTCAATGTTGTTGAAGAAGACTCCATGCATTGGCGTATCCTTGTGCTACCGCAGAAGTGAAGTAGTGATCTTTGCGGCTTTTATATGGGCCTTTTGCTGAACGGATTCCAACACAGTGACAGAGTTTTGTACACCTCGTTCAATGTCGAAAACTAAACCGAGTCCACCCTATAGAAGAATGCTCCAACTTCTGCTCTCTCATGGTCCGAACTCCTCACGACCCTACAGGCTTCATCCAGTACCATTCTGTTTTGTCGACACTCGGAACTGAAAAGTCCTCTCTGTTGCCGAGGGAAGTACAACTGTGGAACGGACAATTAGGGATGCAAATTCCTATGGAGATGTATCATTTTTCGGGTTTTTACGTCTAGGTGATATAGCTCTTCTCGTGTCCACTTCACTACTCCAAACAAGTATAGTAAAACTGGAACGGCAAGCATATTTGATACAGCAACTTTGTTCTTCCCCGATAGTTTCGATTACTAGATCAGTCGGAGTTTGTGCTGTTACTTGACGCGAAGAGAGTTTTTCAGTGCTCTTACCTCTTGTTAATGGCGTTGTTCCACTCCGATGCGGGAAAACGTCTCTTCAGCATCCAGATGGTGTAGGATGCTTTCATCTACGAGCTGCACATCCTCTCCGTAGTTTCCGGATAGTACTCTCCTGAGATGGACCGTTGCACATATGTCTATCCCGAATTTCATACCGATAGCAGGCGTGTACTCCCCTTGAGGACTGATGGAGATTCTTCTCTCCTGAGGCATATAAAACAAATGGGTGACCTTGTGCCTACAGTTTCCAGGAGTGCCATAGTTATGAGTATTTCTGAGCGCAACTGATAATGGTAATAGTGAGATGCAGAAGAGAAGGAAACTGAGAGAATCGCCCTGAAATACACTCCGTCTGAAAGTGATCCACCCTGTTTGGATTCTGGCTCGACCAGATGTTATGATGAAGCGTGTTTGTCAGAGTGGTATCAGTTGTTCAAGGCATCTCACTATTTTGTCAAGTACCGCAAGACATCTGAGTAAATGCAAGATGATCATATGCGATGTTGTATCAAATGCCTTGCGTTAATCGATCCAGGCCATAGAGAGATTACGCTTATACTGTATCGAATCCTGCATTACACATCTATCAATGAGCAGTTTCTCTTTACATCCAGTGATTTTTTTTGACCCTCTCTACTCATATATCGGTTCGAACACTTGGTCAACTGCGGTGAGTATTCGTGTGTATAAGATACTTGTAAACAACGTATAACATGAATTTAAGCATATTATCGGTCTGTAATTCTTAGGAACTGACAAGTCTTCGCTTTTGGGAATGGTAACGGTTCGCCCCTCGACGATCCAATACGGAATCGACTCCTCTCCGCCCAGCCATGATTTGAGAACTCTGCCCAGATGGCGGTGGGTGCTTGGTAGTTTTTTCCACCAATAAGTGTACAGACCATCTGGGCCTGGAGCAGCAAAGTTCTTGGAACATCAGCCGTGGTTATCGGGTTGCGCAGTTCATTGAACTCAGGTTGTTGAAGCTCTCTGCTGTAAGCTTCGAACTGCGCTAGGGCTGGAGTGTTTAAGTTGAGTGGCAACGGATGTTCTTAGATGTCCTTCCAGAAGGATTCCACCTTATCAACGGTCGGCGAATTATCCACAACACGTGGAGGCTCTTGGAATAAGCGAGAAGTTTTATCGCGGAACCTAAGGTTTTTGATATTGAAGGCGACAATCTCACCTTCACAAATGAAATTAAAAATACAATCGAAACTAATAATGCGAGCCCCGTGTTCACAAAATCTTACAGATACCTTCAAATTCACAAAGAAGAAGTCAAAACCCAAATTTCCAAGGTATCATTCAACATTCGACATCCCCATGGTCATCCCCTGTTTGGGTAGTACCGAAAAAGCTAGATGCTTCAGGAAAACCCAAATGGCGTGTTGTGATTAACTATCGAAAACTGAACGAACTGTCAGTAGCCGATAAATATCCGTTACCCAACATTTCCGACCTGCTAGATCAGCTTGGAAAATTTCAGTATTTCACCACGCTCGATCTTGCGTCAGGATTTCACCAGATCGAAATCGACCCAAAAGACGTTCCAAAAACAGCCTTCTCAGTTGAGAAAGGTCACTATGAATTTGTCCGTATGTCTTTTGGATTAAAGAACGCACCATCCAGATTTCAAAGAGTGATGGATAACATCCTTCTTGGCATCCAAAACGAGCGCTGTCTTGTATATATGTATGACATCATTATATACTCACCAATGATCCACGAACATATTTCAAGACTGACGGAAGTGTTCAAAAGACTAAGAAAAGCCAACTTGAAAATTCAGCCTGACAAATGCGAATTTTTAAGGAAAGAAGTCGCTTATCTTGGACACGTAATCACGAAAAACGGCGTTAAACCAATTGGATTTACCAATTTTGGAAATTCTTTCATTCATTTTCGCTGAAAAAGAAATTAAGATAACAGTATGCCAAAATCTAACTAGAACTCCCGACGAAGACCAAATTTCCATCGTAATGGACCAATGTCATTCAGGAAAAAATAATTGACATCGAGGAATAAACGAAACGATTAGACGCCTAAAAAAATATAATTGACCAAATTTAATGAAAGATGTAGAAAATTTTGTAAAGAACTGCGAAACATGCAAAAAAGCAAAAATTTGCAGACAGAACCTTAAGAGCCCTTTAGTCACAGAATC